AGAAAGCAGATCTGAGGTACAATTTCGGAGTTAGTATATGAAATGGTTAACCCTTTCTTGTTCACTAGTATGGGATTGTGGACCAAGGAGACCTTTGATAAACACTGTGTGAAGCCGAGTGTCTGTTTGATGAGAGGCGTGATGCACAGGCTTTAGGTTGGAGACAGAGAACACAAAGGGAGATAGATGTACTTCCGGCGGAGGCAGAGTGGAACTCAGGTGTGATGTGTTGTGTTTGCCTTTGCTGTGTGGAGTTCAGAGGACAGGTCTGGACTGGAGACTTGGTGTAGGGCTGGCAACTGAAGCCATGGGAGTGGCTGAAATGGGCTCTGGGGAATGAGTCTCTCAGATCCAGAGAACAGGGGTGGCACAACTTCCCACATTTCCCGGCTTAAGCTACGGTCAGGTCATCGTACATAACGCCCTATGTCGACGGTTACTAAAGAATTCTTTATTCCTCATTGCTCCTTGCAGCTTCGTGAGGCTAAGGATGAGAGGATCTCACACCACGCACACCCTGCTGGGGGCGCGCCTTAACTGGTGACTTCATGGAGGAGGAAGGCTACCCAGGTCGCCCGGTCCTTGGTGCGTAGATCCCTCCCCACAACAACGCCTTTCTGGTCTGTGCGCTGACACCGCGATCATCAAGCCAGCTGGAGCAGGCCATAGTGGGTCAGCAGGCTCTGGGTTCGGTTGTAGACGTCCTCTAGAACTCGGGCGGCACGGGCTAGGGCCACCCGCGCGTCCGCCTCTCTGGTTCCGGGACACGCCAGCTGGAGCAAGTGGCCGCGACTCGGGAGGGCGAGGATGGCCAGGCGTGCAGCCTGACGGATGAGCCATGGGTGGTGCTCGGCCAGCGCGGTGCTGTAGGCGTCCCCGCACTGCACGCCAGCGTCCGGACCTCCGAGCGTCCCTGTCGCCACCCTGTGGAGGCAGAGCTGGGACCAGCGCAGCGCGCGGTGCAGCAAAAGCAGCGTTCGAGAACCCGAGGCCCTGGCTGGGTCCCGGGGCGCGGTCCCGGGTCGCTCCAGTAGTCCTGCTTGCCGCTCCCACGTCGCCATAGTAGCCAGCGACGCGTAGTGCGAAGCATCTGGGCCGTGCACGCAAGCCTCGAGGGCGGTTACCTTGACGAAGGCCTCACTGGTGGCGAAGGCGAAAACAGAGCCAAGCGGGGTTAGGAACCTGTTTGGTGGTGGAAAAGTGGAGATGATTTGAGAAAGAGCAATCAATCCTTTGGAAGACGGCTTTGGGGAGGGAGACCACTCACCTGAGTAGTTCCCTCCATCCTGCCAGATACTGAGACAACTCTACATCCCCTTCGGGGCTCAAACAGGCCAGGAAGGGGCTCATCATGCGACCCAGCACCCCTTGAGGCCCCAGACAGGGAGGCTCTTCCTTCTCCGGGACCACCAGGGCTGTCAACTCTGGACCGATCTGGGAGGCAGACATAGGAGAGATAGGTGAAAAGCTCCTAACCTGCCCAGCCTACTATTGGGTTCTGAAAAACTGTCCCTCCGGTTTAGCCGGGTTTCCTCCTGGTTCTTATCACCTGGAGGGAGAGGAGAACAGAAAGGAGCCTCCCTCCTTTCCTTAGCTTCTCAGTCTGGGTCCCCTGGTTTCTTGTTCAGAGCCCTCGGACTCTGACCTTAACTCAAACGTACCTGGGAAGGTAGCGGTCCCTCTGGGTTGCAGGACTGCACCCCGGGCCTGCAGCCTGTCAGGGTACTGGAGGTGATCTGAAGCAAGGCGGTAAGGACTGGAGAAGGAGAAGGGGGCTCGAGTTCCAACAGGCTGGACTGCTGACTTCTCTGAGCCGGTAACACGAGAGGCCACTCATGAAAGAGTCGCACACTGGTGTAAAGAAATAATAGCGTGAGCGTGAGGATAGCGAAAGGAATTGCATGGCAGAACCAGCGTCCCAGGGCTGGGGATGTCAGTGAGACCCCCATGGCCTTGGCTGGCATACCTCACCTAACTGGGTGGTGGCTTTCGCCTCCCGTGGTGTCCAGAGCTGCAGATGGTTAATAATTAATCTAAGGCCCCCTCCCCTGTGTCCTTTACCCCAGAGGTCAGAGCCTGGTGTGAGAGACCTAATGAAGATCTGGGGGATTTGGCATGTGACATGTTACCTTTACATGTGCGACTAACCTGTAATAAGAGGCAGCCTCTTATGGGTCCTACTTTAACCCTGGGCACGAATCCATTAGAACCTGAGGATAATGGGTCTTTGTAAATCTCATGTGGGGACCGAGTAATAACACTGTGAGCGGAAAGCTGATCCCAATTGCCCAATAACTCTTGCTGGGGGGCGATGGCGGGCCTTTGTGCGCTCTTCTTTTACATTCTTATGATTTAATTAGCTTAGGAGCCTGTCCTGGAGCTCACTCTCTAGACCAGGTTGGCCTCGAACTCACGGAGATCCATCTGCCTCTGCCTCCCAAGTGCTGGGTCTAAAGGTGTGCGCCTTTAGATTTCATTTTTTTTAATATTTATTTTTTTATTATGTATACAATATTCTGTCTGCCAGAAGAGGGCGCCAGACCCCATTACAGATGGTTGTGAGCCACCATGTGGTTGCTGGGAATTGAACTCAGGACCTTTGGAAGAGCAGGCAATGCTCTTAACCTCTGAGCCATCTCTCCAGCCCCTAGATTTCATTTTTAAGTTCATGATTCCACATTAACTTTTCCTTCACTAAATGAATCTTTACTCTACTACCATGACAGGCCGTATACTAGATTCCCCAGAATATGAAAGAGTTTTCACAGCTGGGCATGGTGGCCCAGGCCTTCATGTAAGCCTTAGGTATTTGGGAGGCTGAAGTAGGAGTATTAAAAGCACAAGGTTTGCGCCACCACTGCCCAACTAATATTAAACTTTTTAAGATAATAAAAATCAAACCTTGTTCTGTGAAAAAAAAAACATTAAAAACAGTTTAAAATTTTTAAAAAAAGTACCAAAATGCTTAGGGGTTTAGCTCAGAGGTAGAGTGTCTTTCTAGTATATGCAAGACTCCAGGTTCAACCCCCAGTATTCTGTGTGTGTGTGTGTGTATGTGTGTATATATGTGTGTATGTGTGTGCATATATGTGTGTATATATGTGTGTATGCGTGTGCATGTATGTGTGTATATATGTGTGTATGTGTGTGTGTGCATGTGTGTATATATGTGTATGTGTGCGTGTGTATATATGTGTGTGCATGCGTGTGTATATATGTGTGTGTGTACTTGTGTGTGTGTGTGTGTGTGTGTGTGTGTGTATGTGTGTAGCACAGCTCGAGCTGCACTGGGAGCATCTTCTGTCTTCCCCACTGGAATGTGAGCTTTGGTGAAGACAGGTACCTTCTCCCTCTGTGGATTCTGAAGACTGAACCCGTGACTTTGCGTGTGCCAGGGAAGCACTTAGCCTTGAGCTGTGGCATCGTTAAATCCCACTTTTTTCCTTTCCCTTTTTATTTTTGAGACAAGGTCTAAACTGAGCAGGTTGATTCATTTTATTTATTTGCTTCTTTGAGACAGGGTCTCTCTATATAGGCCTGGTTTATTGATTTATTTGAGACAGTATCTCTCTATAGCCCTGACTGTCCTGGAACTCACTCTATAGATCAGGCTGTCCTTAAACTCACAGAGATCTGTTTGTCTCTGCTTCCTGAATGCTGGGAGAAAAGGTGTGTATCACCATGGTCCACATCTCAGGTTGGTTCTGAACTTTCTATCCTACGCTTTCTGAGCCACTGTGATCACACAGACTCGAGCCACTAGGCCTGGTCAGGCACCTTACTTTTCTTGGTTATTTTAGGCATTTGGAATATTGTTTGCATCAAATGCATTATAAATAAATAAATCTTCGTTAAAGAGAGTAATGTGTCTGAATGAGGCCAGTAAATCAGAGATGGTCCCTGCCCCCTGACAAATCTAGCATGTTTTGTTTTCTTGTTTTATGAATTAGGGATCCATCTACTGGTCATAGGAAGGAAGGCATTCCGGGAAAGGATTAAAAAAATATTAGCAAACCAGGGCAAAGCGGGTGTAATCCCAGAACTCAGGAGCCTGAGGTAGAAGGATCAAGAGTTCCAGGCCAGCCTGGGGTATATGGTGAGCTCCAGGCTAGTCTTGGCTACGCAGTAACCCCTGTCTTAAGAATATCAGGAGCAGAGGAAGAGCAGCTCCATTTGTTCCGTTGTCTCAGTCCCTGTTCTTAAAGCCTTAGAATTATTCCGGGCTCACTGGATGTGGTGCCCCCTGCTGGTAATCCTAGCACTTGGGAGGCCTAGGCAGAAATATTCGGAGAAGTCTGGTTTGTTTGGGCGACTGTGCTGGGTGTTTTATGTAAACAAGCTAAAGAGGAGGGAGTCTCAATTTTAAAAAGTCTCAGTTGGGTGGTGGTGGCACAGGCCTTTAATGTCAGCACTCGAAAGGCAGAGGATGGCAGATCTCTGTGAGTTTGAGGCCAGCCTGATCTACAGAGCTAGTTCAAGGACAGGCTCCAAAGCTACACAGAGAAACCCTGACTCGAAAAACAAAGCAAAACAAGGCAGATGACAGACAGACAGAAAGAAAGAAGAAAGAAAGAGAGAGAGAGAGAAAGAGAGAGAGAGAGAGAGAAGGAGGAGGAGGAGGAGGAGGAGGAGGAGGAGAAGGAGAAGGAGGAGGAGAAGAAGAAGAAGAAGAAGAAGAAGAAGAAGAAGAAGAAGAAGAAGAAGAAGAAGAAGAAGAAGAAGAAGAAGAAG